TCCATACCTCCTCCTCCACCCGTCTCCCTGCCTCCTGTCCTCCCTCTCTGCTCTCTCTCTCTCTCTCTCTCTCTCTCACACGGTGTGACTGGGAGGCCTGCTGAGCTCACTGGTCTCACTGAAACACACAAAGACAAAACAAGTCGGCATGAGTTACTTCAACCCCTCATTCAGAGTTCTATATTTCATTATAGCGCTCAGTCAGTATAGGTTGTAAAATGTGCCCACATCATCAGTTTCAGGAAGAGTGACGGGTGTGTCTCTGTCTCCTCAAGGCTCCCCCTACGAGACCAGATCCTCCCTCACCAGCAGAGCCAGCGGTCTGGCCCCCGGCCACAGGATAAAGGACAGAGACTACCAAGGCTGGATGGACTTTGGTAGACGCAGCGCAGAAGAGTATGAATACGCCTCCTAAAGGCATGGCTTGCTTTCGCTGAAACCTGAGTTACAACCCTTATCACTGCCAATAAAAAGCCCACAAAAAATAATGAGCCCTTTTCACACTGCACTTACTGTAACCAAGGGCTGACTTGACTGGACCCCAGAGTGAGTTTAGCATCATAATATATAAATGGGAGGGGGGGGGGCATATCCTGCAATCTGTGGACCCTCATTCTCCATGCTGAAGTAAAGAGCACTTGCCAAACCGCTACTCACACTACGTCAGAGTTGTATTCAAATGTTAGATAATGCTGACAATATTCTACATTGTTGTTGTTGTCAGGAAATCCTTTGAAAAATGAAATAAAAACCAACAGTGCGTTAGTTCATCTCCCGATATTTTCTGACTTCTCTACCTTATATGAGGCTGTCCAGCCCTTTTGTTCCAATTGAAAACATAAATCATTAAAAACAGCTCACAAATAAATGGTTTTGTTCTTACAAAGACTCAGTAATGCAGAAACGGAGAGGCGGTAGCTTTAGAAGACATCACTTAAACAGGAGGAGATGAGTACCTCTGTCAAAATAAACTGGGAGTGATCATTGTAATGGAAGGGCACGTCACACGGAGCAACAGTATGAGACAAAAAAACGGACTATCAAGCAGAACATTTTCCTTTGAATATAAATTCCAGCCCTATTCTCACTGTCTTACGAATCCATGTCACTCAAAGCTATTTAAAGGGTCTCATTCTACTGACGATTAGGAATGTATCGAATGCCTTTACATTGGACCGAGTCTATTCATATCATACCATCTCTAACGAAAAACAGCGTGATACATCATTACATCACAGTACCAGAATGGAGTCAGGAAGAATTGGAACAAAAGTTGCTTTAAACAGCCCCAAATGTTCACCCCCTACCCTGCCTGCTGACGGTAACCCTGGGCTCAAAATGTGCAGTGTGAAAAGCACAAGACACGTCCGAGAAAGCACAAGGTGTTGTCTGCTGTATATGAGATGCTTGGAAGTCGCCCTGTCATTGCATTATAGACCTCGGAGGCAGAAAGTACTGCAGATATGAAAAGAGGAGTGGTGTTGTTCTTTTTTTGAAAGATCGTGTATGTATGCACTCTTAAGGTTAAAGTCTCTGTGATACATTATATCTTCTAACTTTCAGATTCAACAAAAGTCAAAATAAAGCTCAATTCCCCTCTGATGTCAGCAAGAAATGAAAATGCCTTTGTTTGGGATTATGATGTTATTATGTTTCGAGGGCACAGTTGGTGGGCTGATCCCAAGCATTTCGTGCATCCTCTGACTGCGGCTGCCATGTCTGTCTGCGGGTGTCCTTCCACATGAGCATTTGGCGTAATTCACCAGGGCATCCTCGACTACATGAAAGCCAGGACATTATCAATGGTGTCTGTTTACAAAGATCAGGCTTTCCCAGAATTAGCACGTGGAATAATGAGCCAGTGTCCTGAACAGGGTATACATTTAAATTGGTATAATCCTGTTTTAGAAGTGACTCTGAAACACATCTTGAATTTAAATTTGTTATATAAATTTTAAAAGGTTAATATCAGCCATCTTTGTTGGGAACATCAAGTGAAAGTGAGGGATTCTCTGTATCACTGAACACACAGGAAAAACTGAATACACCCTGTTGTAATAATAATAAAATAAAGCTTTTAGTTTGCAAACACAACAGAAAATAGATGGTCATATATCTAATGTAAATCTGTTTGTATAGACATGAGCAATATAAGTGTATGTGTATATAATTTTTTGATGAAAAATAGGGTTTTATGTGTTCAAAGTGCAGCAAAGACGGGTCTTGATTCATCAATTACTCTGGCTTGGAATGAATAAAATACTATATTGACTTATGAATAAAACTCAACTGCCTTCACACGTCCCGCTGCATAATGTCCCCACAGAAAACACACATTTCACTTTCTCTTCACCTCTTAAAAACCCCTTCACCCACTGAGTGTATCATCAGACCGGTTCACAGACAGGAGATTAACTGTGCTCTCAAGCTCCATTAAACAAAGAGACTATATTACTAAATACATACACAAGAAGCAAAAGATGGGAGCTGTATTCAGATAATTTACTTGACTAAAAGTACAAATACCACACTGTAAAAAATACTCCATTATAAGTAAAAACAAACAACTTTTTAAATAGTTTATCTAGCTTAAGAAGTAGAAGAGTTTTCTCAGCACATAAACAAAAACCTGATCAGTCTCTCAGAAACATTCAAATTCACCAAAATTGGACACAAGGTTTTCGCTGGACAGGCATTATAATATACAACTTGTAATCTTAAAAAGTAACAATTAACACATTTTAAAATTTGTCTCTGAGATGTAGTGGGTAGAAGAAGAATGTTGCATTCAAATTTAAATATTAAATCAAAGTACAAGTACCTTGAATTTGTAGTGAAGTAGGCTACTTGAGTAAATGTAGACCTTTGCACCACTGACAGAATCACACATTTTTAGTACTTCTTTTTTAATTTCTGCATCAGAACAATTCAGTCGCAAGGTGGTGTACTAATTTATGAAAAACAAATGTCACGCTACATCCGGAGATAGGATACAACAGACTGTAGGGACCCACAGCAACACACAATATACAGCACGAAGAATGATGTCCGTTGTTAATGGGTTGTCATCCTCCCGTCTGAAACACACAATAGTTGTGTTTACCGACCGTCTGTCAGTAAGCTCTCATACTAGAGCTCAAGTGGCTCATATTTACTCTGCTGCTGCTAAAGCACACGAACAGAGAGAGAACAATCGCAAATTCAGTCTCTGTAAAACTCCCCGTTCTAGCTTCAGATGGGTCAGACCAACTGCTCCAATATGAGACCATATGAACAACATGGTGCACAGCTGGTCGCAAAATAAATTCACAAATCACGAATGCTTTAGCACACTTTTTAATACACTAAAACATTAACATCGATGATGCATTTGATCAAAAAGCATGCGGACGACCCAAGGGATATAAAGTGTATATATACATATACATACATATACACATATATATATATATATACACACACACACACACACACAGATATAAATCAGTGATGGAAATATGCTGCATTTACAGGATGAGAGCGTTGTTTGACTAATTGTTAAACCCGTGTGTTTAAACTAAGTTGTCTAATCTATTGTGACATGAATTGAAATGGTCTGATCACAATACCTTGCTCTTTACTGCGCTCATATGGATACAGAGAGAAGTACACTCACGTCAGACATATGCAATTTTAGAAAAACCAAAGAAATCATCAATACTTTTAATGGATGTTTTTATTTCTTTATTTTAAATACATTGATTGCAATCATCCACTCTGTCTTCTGGTCCACCGACACATGAGAAGTGACATGCACACATTCAAACATGTAGCCATGTGTCAAACATACAGCGACATTCATTAACAGCAACAAACATAATAAAAACACAAAAGAAAAACAAGTAGATGACATGGGAAAAAAAAATCATATCAGTAGAATAAAGTTAATAACAGTTTTTAAAACTCAACATTAATAATTACTATTTGCCATTCACCTTAAACCAAACCATAGTGTTAGAAGCCACGAGTCCCTGTTTGTAGAACATCCAATACAACCGATAGCAGACTTTTACATTTAATTAATAAATCTACAGTATGAATGGGGTTTTAAATCGTTCTTCCTACCCACGAATAACTCATTATGGGGAACGTTTACTCTTCTGTTCCACTTGAAATAACCGAAAAAATGATATAAAGCATCTTTTTCAGTTATCTAAGGGCAAAAACTAAAAAACGTTTGAGTCTGGTGAAGAAAAATGAAGATTTAATAAAAAAAGGTTCAGCTACTTGTTTGCCTTTTGGTTCTTAAATCAGGGACTACATGACAGAAATATTTAAGGCAAACATACATATATTCATTTATTCTAGAAACAAACAATTATTGCTTTCACCTGACTCTGGACATGATCTGTCACCAAATGTATTTAAATGAAGATGCACAATAGATTATTTTGCATCCTTCTTTGTTGGCATTTGAGTGAATTAATTTGGAGACATAAAAGTTAAAGTTACGTGCACAGACATGATACACATTCACACACATATTTACACGACAGTAAGAGGTCTGCAAACCTACAACTGTGGTCTAAAACTGTACAAACTCAAAGATGTAATGCGATAACGACCTGGAAACAACATTAACAGCATTCAAAGTGAGAGAGAAGAAATCATTTACAGCATCTCTATGGTGCTATTATAATACATGTCATCAATGAACATTTGGCACAAATTGTTTTCAGCATGGCTACACTGGTCTGCTCTGCCTAACAACACTGGTGACTAATGGTTTTACTGGCTGGAACTGGCTGGTTCAGACTTCTCAGTTAGGTCTCACAGAAATACTCCCCACTTTAAAATGATCCTGATCAGTCATTTGGCTGGTGTGTGTATTTATGATGGCTGCCACAAGATGTCTGGAAAACTTCTGGTGGTAATTAACATTCCTGCACAACATGGCTGAACACTCATGTGACCTGTAATGTGAAATTGAATCATAAACAGTGTGCAGATTAAACAGGAAGTGGTCAAAGCAGCCGCCTGAGGTGGACCAAAGGAATTATTGTTACACCAGGAAGTGTCCAGTGTGGACATTTAGTTGTAGTGCTGGTTGTGATTTATAAACAGCATCATCATCACGGCTTAGAAACGGAGGGGAGTTTGGTACCAACATGTTAATGGGGTTCAAAAGAGTAGTTTGCTTCACTGTCTTAACTCTGTTCTGAACAAGCCAGTTCACATGTTAAGCTACTGTCCTGCTCCAAAAACAGGACTATTAAGCCTGGGTTGTTCTTTCACAAGGACGGTCGCACGGAAAGGAAACATTTGGATCTTTAAAACTCTGTGCGGGTTTCTCCTCTAGGCTAACCAACATTTTTAAAGCACCTCAAAATGTTCAATTTTCTCCTGCCACACAGGTCCCCCGCAAAGGGCCGTGTCTGATGGTGTGACGTCACTTTGGCTGCGTGGACACTTGCAAGCACAAATCATAAATGAGCACAAGTCCTGCTGTTACAGATTGGTTATTGAAGTAAAAAGTAAAAGTGGTTACCGTCTGTTTATTGCTGGCTGATTTAACAAAGTCAGCTAGATGATCTCGACTACTGGACACTGCGATGAGATCGTAACCATCCCGTTTTCTTTCAATTACATCCTTCACTCACTCACACACACACACACACTCTGAGGGAGGGTCTTTAAACACAAAAACCAAGCCCTCTTTATTGGAACTATCTCTGAAATCTCTGAAAGAGAGTATAACTGAAACAAACATCCACAACACTATCATGAAATGCTGGTATGACGACACACGCACACACGCCAGCAACCAGCCAGAGTCATGTGGATTTGTTGTCATGCACTTTAAATGTGCATTTCTATTATATTTTTCAGATAATATTTGAAGAAACTATATTTATTCTAAAAAAACATTTTACTCAAGTGTTTTTAACTGTTGCACTAGAAACTTCTAGGCGCATGGTACATGTTGACAGAGCAGAAGTATACCTCTGGTACTGTCACCGACAGAACGCTAAACACTGCAGACAACGTCGATCTGTACGGAGCAACACAGTCTTTGGTCACTGAAGTATTACAAGAATCAACACTTCCTTACAAGTACCATAGTAAAGTGTCAAAACAAGCTTAGCAAAGCTGCTAACTGCTAAATATATGCGCATGTGTGCCTATGAATAAGTATCAGTGTTCATTTTGTATGATTTCGTTACATCAGTAAATCTGACAGTTTGGCTTCTGGCTCCGCATTTGTTCCCGCTTTGGTCCCCGTTTTTGGTTTTAATGAAGGTTGTAGTTATTTGAATACGTTATAGTATTTGTACATTTAATAGTGGGCCAAATCCTAAATATTCCTTGTATTTTTTTTTCTTACATAGTGGTGACTAAGATTTGTTTGTAGCTCTTTGTCTTTGTCAGTGGAAACGTCCCATGGCTTCAGCAGCCTTCATTCTCACCACAGGATCTGGATCTTGGAGAAGCATCACCAAACCTGGGGGGACACACACACACACACACACACACACACACACACATACACACATACACACATACACATATACACACACACACACACAGTCAATACAACAGAATGAGTTTACATGTCTGAAGAAAGAGAAGGTTGTGCAGTGAATCACCTTTAGTGATGGTGCCCATGTTGAGGTGGGAGAAATGCTCGTCTTGAAGATTCCCCAGCAGAAACCCTGAAACACACAAACCTTATGATCAGGTCACGTCATATACAACAGGAACACACCGTTTCTGACCCACACATCCACTCAGGTTCAACGACAGAAATGTTCATTTTGCAGTCATACCTATAAACATGGCCGCTCCTGCTCTGACCTCAGCCCAGTTGCTCTTGAAGAACTGGATGACTGATATGTGATAAAAGTTCAGCATGCCTGGAAAGTCCTGAATCTATGAACCACAAAACATGCACTGAACGTCAAACACGAATAAGCACTTCTAATGTAATTCACCACTATCATCTATTCTGACTTTGCAAATAATCTGTGAGGTTGATCCTTAAATTCACTTTGTGTTAAAGACAGTAAATGTACAACTACTTTGGATATTCTTGCTCAGGTTTCTGTAACATTGTTTCTCAACCTTCATGAAAAAAGTCAAACTCATTTCACAAAGAAACTTCTGAATACATTTCATACTTTTTAAGACGTTACAGAGTTCATCTTATTCAGCCATGCTTATGTTTGACTGTGTGTGTGTGTGTGTGTGTGTGTGTGTGTGTCTCACCAGGTACTTGGTGAGGTCATTGATAAACTCTCCATAGTGCAAACTCTTCTCATCGTGAAGGTGGTTCTGAAACATGGTTGTGATCTGCTCTGATCCCACGACCGGAGCACACACTCGCATTGAATACTTACACGCCTGGACAGATGAGAAAACAAGATCCACATTAGTATGAAACAATACAGTAGTTATATAACTTACTTTTGTCCCAGTTCTATTAATGATAATAACCCTGACATGAATGCACTTTTCCTACTTACCTTGACCACCTGTGGGTTTGGGTCAACCAGATGTAACAGCAGGCTGACCAGGACATTGTGGATCTGGTCTTTGAACACTGGCTCTCCTGAGCCAAACTTGGACAGGTTCCCCATGAGATGGATGGAAGCACAGCGGATCTCATCGTTGTCCTGGTTGAGCACAGAGCCAGAACAGTACTGTTAGCGTTACATGCGTCTCTGTGTGTGGGGAAACAACTTCACCTTCTAGCCTCAACGGACTAACAAACCTCAGCTCTGAATAATTAAAAAGACACAAAATATAAAACACACAACTTTAGATACTTTTGATTACTCTGAAAATAATCGTCACAATATATAACATCACAAAACATGTTGAAAGATTTAAAGGAAACTTACACTTTCCAGGAATGGTTTGATCTTCATGAAGATATAGACCACCAATAAGTGGACGTTCTTCTGGTCCAGATAGAGGAGAACTTTGGAAAGACCTGACATGGCTTCGAGGGTAATCAGCTTACCTGCAGGAAACAAAAAAAGAGCATTTATACAAAAAACAACCAATCCAGGACGAGAGGCTGAAACACGTAGTACGATAAACATGATGGAAGTTAAACCCAAATCACTAGACTGTAAGCTTTAGGAATCACTGCAATCAATCATGTCTACTGACCTGGATCGTCTTTCTCCTCCATGCCTGAACTCATGGCTGCCAGCAGCTCCTTGGCATATTTGTTCACCTGGTGGGAGAAGGAAGTGAGAGTAGGAAAAGAGGACGCACGGAAAACTCATCCAACCCTGATCCAACAGCGGAGCATGTGCTCGTGTACCTTTTCAGGTGATCCCCCGGCGATATTGCCCAGCCCCCGAACAGCCAGCATGCGGAGAGTGCAACAGGGATCAGATATCCTCTCCATCATGTTGTTCATCAACACATCCATCAACATCAACTCCGTCACCACATGATGGTTTAAGAGCTGGAGTCAGTAAAAGAGAGAGACGACGGGTTATTCATGTTCTTCATCGGTTGGTCAATGAAAGCCGATTTGATATTATCATCTTAAATAAGTATGACGCAATATTTCATGGTGTATCACCTCAGAGAAGAAAGCAGTGACGGTGATTCTCTGGCACTCGTAGATGTTGTTCAAGGAGGGACACAGACACTCCACGATGGAGGGCAACCTGGGACCAGCATGCTTAGACATTGCCCTACACACAAGACAAACATACTAACATTTAAACAGGCTTTATATAAAAGGGGGAATTCATTATTTAGACACATATTTTCTTTATGAGAGAAAGAGAAACAAGAGCGGAATGCAGTAGAGGAAATGTACAGGCATGTCCTCATGTCCCTAACATATTCTTTTATCAAATGGATAAATGCATTGAGCATCACACATTTAGTTTCTAATACCTTTGAATATACAAGTCACTTTTATCACAACAGTATTGATGAGCAGCTTGGCAGAAATCCGTTGATCCAGCATTTATCTGTAGTGAATTTCTGATTGAGATCTCAAACTCGACCCATCCAACTTAGCGAGTGTGTACGTACCTTGCCAGTAGTGTAACTCCAGCAATGTGTGTATTTGCTTCCTTCATAGCGTCCCAGGCGTTATCTTCATCCAGTCTTTTAATCACCTCATCTAACTGGGCCCGTGCCAACAAGATCCGCAGAGCATCGGCTGCGACCCTGAATCACGCAAAGGAGGACACCAAAATGTTAGCTCCACCTGAAACTAACCGACTTTAGAACTAGATTTTAATAGTTACTAGTTCAAGAAGATGCCCACCCTGCTACATGGATGGAGGCAGTTTGTTTAGTGTTGTTGTCCTTCGGTGCAGAAACCCCGACACTTGCTCCCAGTCTGACAGTGAGACAGGAGAAGAGCTGAGGAAACAGGCTGACTGCCGGCTCCTGAGTGTGGCCGTTCATCAACAGCTCTTTGAGACCACATGTCATCTGCAAATAGAAAAACAGAATTCTGTGAATTGAGTTGAAATAAAAGGACTCATGCATGAATATAATCCATAATCTTTATCTAGAACTTAATACACGTGTGATGTATTTAGCGACATGTCTGAGAGGGTCTGTGACTTACAGCTAGCGGCTGACTGGTGGCCACCTTTTTGGTCCCTCCTCTCATCATTGACTCCCTCTGGTCTACGTAGGGCACCATGATGAGAAGCTTCTCAATCACCATCTCAATGATCTGATTGGCTACAATGGGGTCTGCTCCCAGGGCCATCCACATCTCACTGGTCCAGCTGGCCAGAGAGACAGAAAAAGTCAAAAACTCAAGCGTCTTTCATTGAAAACACAAACACTTGACTCCAAGTGAAATTATTTGTCCTGCGAAAGACACAAAATGAGCAACTCACAATCTAAAGAACATGGTTACTGAGTTTAATGTGTTAGGTAGTAAATATAATTATAGGCTTTGCGACTATACCTGTCATAAGGGAGTGGTTGGTTAACTAGTGCATTGATAACAGCCTGTAGATGCTGAGAAGCCAGGATTAGTACGGTCTGTCCCACCGCCACTCTCACCTAAACACAGGTACAGGAACAAACAGGTCTTACAGAGCAACTCAATTACATGTTAAGCGGGTATAGCTCATAGATGGTTCAGATATAATTAAACAATGAGCAGATCATTATTGCAAAATACCCCACACAAGGGTGAGTCGGTTATTCAAAACAGTATTAGAATAACAAAAAAAGCTATTAAAAAAATGAATATCTTTGCTGAATATTGTCACACTGATGTGTGTTCATACCTGCTCCTCTGTGATGTTCTGCAGACGCACATGTATCACCTCCAGCATCTCTGGGACCTAACATACAAACAAGCACTGTGTTTGGTATTCCAGATATGTGTGTGTGTGTGTGTGTGTGTGTGTGTGTGTGTGTGTGTGTGTGTGTGTGTGAAATAACTGAATTAATCAGCAGATGCAACAAAGGGCTGTGTGAGAGTCCAAGTATATATGTGTGTGTGTGTGTGTGTGTGTGTGAGAAATAACTGAATTAATCAGCAGATGCAACAAAGGGCTGTGTGAGAGTCCAAGTAAATGTGTGTGTGTGTGTGTGTTTGCTACCAGCTCTTGTAGTCCTCCTCCTCTGTTCTTCAGCAGAGTATTTAGGATGACAGATGAGGCTCTGCAGCAGTTTGCCTGACTGTCGACCAGCCCTTCAAACAACATGAACACCAACGTCGTCAGCTGCTCCTGAGGCAGACGCTTACTCATCACCTGACACATGCAGGAATAGACGCAATAGAACGGTTTCACTGTATGGGTTACGACTGCTCATACTAATTTGACATGAACATAAAGAAAAGAGGTAACAATGTTTGTACGACTATATTAAGGTGGACCGAGTTTAGCAGAATAAAAGCAAAACAACTGAACGGTTTGTCACTGAGTGCCATCACTAAAGGGCACAATAATCTATCTGGGCAAGGAAACAGAAAGGAAGCAGTACAGGTAATATATTTTTGAAGACAGACTTGCTGAGTGGTACAAAGTGTACCTTGGTGAGGTCGGAGCAGGTCTTATATAGAACTGAATGGTCAGGGTTATCTAACCGGTCTTTAAGGGGCAACAGACTATCCACACCGTCATCCTTATAATCTAGGGAGAAACCTACACACAAAGAGTCAAAACAGCAAGCGTTACAAAAAAACTTCAACATTTTAGGTCAAAGCTGGACTATTTAGGTCGAGTGAGAAATATATTAACCACCATTTTAACAATTATTAAGTGACTGCAAATAAAATGACAAAGGTGAAAGGTCAGGGCTCCGTGTCTCTGCACCTTCATAGCGCAGCTGAATGTAAAGCAGAGAGTAGATACAGTCCACGGCAGCCGTGCGTACGGCAGGGTGAGGGTCGGAACATCGTGGAGACAGTCGACCCAGCAGAGCTCCAAGGTTGTGGAAAGTCACCATGTTCTACAGAAAGAAAGGAAAGGCACAAAATGTCGGTTTTAACATGAAGTGAAGACAAAATAGCATCCGCACTGACGGGATACTTTAGTGACCTTCAATGGCTGAATACGCGTCATACTTTGGAGCATTTAGATTTGAATGAGTTACAATTCACCCATTATGAAAACTAAGATCTGGGGTGTGTCCGGGATAGTTAAGTTGTCAGAAATAAAACAAACAAGACATGCAGATATACATTTGAGTGTGTGTGTGTACCTTGACAGTCAGGTTATCCAGGTAGAAAGCCAGCATGTGAGCAGTAGCTGTGACAGCTCTCTCTCTCTCGTGGTCCTGTCTGGAGCTCAACCACGATTCAATGTGCTGCACATAATAATAACATACATTGTGTCAGACTGCACAGTGTTGCAGCGTAACACAGCTCCTTCTCGATGCACGACAGTTCACTGAAGCCAGTTGTTATTTTTCAATTAGACAGCTGAAAAACGAGTCAAATGAATAAAGGAGGAGAGACACACGTGAAAAAGTCTTTATACTAATGTAGCCCCAGAAGTAACTCAAAACCTAAATACATTTATTTTAAGCTATAGAGTTAAGGATGTTGGAAATTTCCAAGAAATTAGTAATGAGGATTTGCTATTGTTCAGCAATATGCTGACATGTGACGACAAGGGCTGCCACCACTTGTATCCTCAGCTGTTGCTTTTTCAAATGCACAATTAGAAAACAGAATAATGTGGAGATACAAACAGTACTGGGACCTAATAATACTTAAGCTAAAGAGCTGATTAATCTGAAACACCAAGCTTCACCTTGAAGACACTCTGCAGGCCATCAGGAGTGGGATCCTTGGCCAGAACACTTTTCAGCAGCTCCTGCAGTGCAGCCAACGTGTCTTTGTACAATGCCTGTACATATTTACCAGGACACGTTAGTTTGACAACATGACAGCCTTTGACAAATGTTGCACAACAGCTGTCAGCGTTAAAATGACACAAGACAAATATACAACACATTGGTGAAGTATACTGTGAACACATCTCGGTCTGATTTACGTCACCTTTCTCTGCTTGGGGTCCAGCATCTCCTCTTCTTTCATTTTCTCTGGCGTGTGTGTCTCGGGTGGCAGAGAGAACACACTGTTCACACAAACCTTTAGCAAGTCAAAGTTGTCATTCTCACTCAGCGCAGGGTCCAGAGGCCTGAAGCACTAAAGGTCAAAGAAAAAATAACACTCGGAAATGACAGAACCTCCAGTGCAAGAATGCAGGGATACCACAGGTGCCTGTGATGAACGTAGCCACTGAAGCTGAAGGATACATTAGGTCGGCAAAGGTGGTCATCACAAGATGGCGCACTGGAGTCCTCAACGAATCAGCTGGCTCTGCCTTGATAAAATCCTGACCAGCGCAGACAAAACAGCAAGAAGACAGAACAGAAAATGAAAACATTGTTGTTTTAACGGCAATTAAACATTTATGACTCGTTTTAACAAACTGAAACGACAGACTACTGACCAGCATAACAGTAACAAGCTCCTGTTTGCGAGAGAAGACGTAGCCTTGTTTCTTCACACACTCACTGATGGCTCTGGCTATGAGCCCAATGCTCTGGATCAAACTGAGTTTCATAGTCAGGTCCTGAAACGAGGGGAAGACACACACTCACACACACACACACACACACACACACACACACACACACAAACACACACACACACACACACACACACACAACACAAGATGCACAAGACGGACAAACAGGATAAATGAGAGGGCATACACAGATCATGAGATTCAGGTCAGGAGGAGAAGTAGGCTCTAAATATGAAGACAATTAGATAATTGCATTTTCCAAATTGTCAGGAATGCAAACAAGGCCAACTGCAGCACCGGCTCAGCAGATGCAACTCTACAAGCGATTGGTGGAAGCAAACACAAACCAAAATCATTCCAGCGGTATCACAATGAAGCAATCAATCCACTCAGTCCATCAATCAATGGAATCAATCCAATAGCGACATTGCTGATTGATCCTACATGCCTATTGGATGGAGAGATGTCTAAAATCAGAGTTGTGCGATTAGAGATTAGAGATCGGTTGAACGGCACACCACCTGCAGGCTCTGCTCTAAGGAGTGACAGAAGAGCTGTTAAAAGAGTTAGCAAGAAATAACAGAAGCCCTTTTACACTCAGCGTGGGTCATTTGTGAGAATTCAAAAGAACAATCCACCATTAAGCAACGGAGAGAAGAAAGAATGAAGGAGGCAACATCGTGTTTAGATCGTATGAAGACGGATCTTAAAGGGATGATACTTTACTATGTTCACTTGAACATTGTTGTAAACCAGCCTTATTAAAAAGAGCAAAATACATGTTGCTAGTAATGCATGCCATTTAAAAAGGACATTTTGAAAATTATTTGCATTATATTTGGGTTCAGCCATGGCCAGAAGAAAACAACACGAGGCTTTTGTGGAATCGTGGCTGCTATGAAAAACAAAAAGCACTTTAGATCCAAGGTTGGAAACCCCATCTAGTAACCATGTCACTGCTTTTACATTCCTGCAGTAGAGTGATAATCCACCATCAAACACTGTAAAAGACACTTTGATACTTGGTGAAGATTGGCTGGAATCGTTTGTAAAGGACTCAATTCAAGCGGACCACAGAAACTGGTGTAAAGCTACATTTCACAGAGGTGGAGCATTTTAGTACAATGAGGACAGCGATAGTCAACTTGAAGCGTTAGTGTTGGTCTGTGTTTTCCGATCAATATTGCTCCCAACTGATCATTTTCTGCACAACAGCACTAACTATGACCCCAGTTGGCCTTGTTGGTATGTTAATGATGGTTACTGTACGGTTATTGTATGAAGCTTTGTTTTCTTGGCTTGAAGAGTTTCAGTAAAGGTTTTAGTGACAGTATCACCACAATGTGTGCAGAAGAGGAAGAAAGATGAAAGGCAGGAAAAGTTCACGAGCAAAGTAAAACAAAGAAAACTGAGAGAGAAGGCCCCTGTATTCCTGTGACAATACCTTTGTCTCTACTTTAATCCCCAGAACCTGCATGAAATAGAGGTGATATCATCATGAGTGCACATACAAATACAGCAGCCTTACCTGCAAGTTTCTAGGCACTATTGTTCTCATACAAGCGCATCGACAAACACAGAGCAATAGGTGTTGAAGCGCACTGCGTGTGCGTCTCCAAGCACACATGCTATTTTGGATCATATCTTAAAGTGTGAGCAGCATTTGAATCAAAATGCATTTAAAGTATAAAACATGACCAGGATGTGAGCCGCTGTAATCCAACATCTTACGTTAACATCGAGTTATAACTGACCAGACTGATGTGTGTGTGTGTGTGGATATTTTGTGTCATTCTGGAGTTATTTACATGTAATCTAATTAAGGTGAGCACAGTAGACGGCTGTGTGTAATAGTATTTCTCAAATCTGCAGATTGACCCACACGTGTGTCCTGCTGCCTTCAGACGGCTGCAGGGATTTATTGACCTGAAGAACAGATTTGGCTTCAGCATAAAGCAGCTGTGGAAAGCAAACCGCTATTTTAATGTGTAGATAAATGCAGACTGCTTTTCCAGTGTTCATGTTAACCACATTTAACGTCATTCTTTTATGCAACTTTAAAGACATCTACTGGTTGTACTGTGTCAAATTAAAGTATTTTATTCATATTTTAAGCATTATTTTGTTATAGTTACTCTCCGTTTGCGCTGTTAAAATCCCCACACTAGAAACAGTTCTGAGACGTCCATTAGTGCGAAGAACCTCCCACCTGTTTGTGCCTCTCTTTCTACATTTGCTGGACATTGCACTGCCACAAAAACAGGACTTCAGGTTAATATAATGCTGACTCAGCCAAGAAGGACAAATCCCAATAGGTGTGACGCAACATGTTTACCACAACATTTCCACCATTTACTCTCAATCCATGTCACAAACACACAAAGTACAAGGGTCAGTGCTGACTTCAATGTGGCCACGTTTCACACCAACGTCTGAGGGTCCATTTCACTGCAACGTTGGGAAACGCACATGTAGCAAGAAATCTGTATTGATTGTATAGATTTGCCTACTAGCAACCATAGATGAGCACTGAGTGGGCTGACATCATACATGGTGCAATACAACAGATCCAGTTGGAATATAGAAAACTATTGTAACTCCAACTGAAATGTGTTTTCATGACAATCAGCCCTGTTCCTTTCAATAAACATCGCTTTTAGTACAACCTGCTACAGTTGTTTGTCATCGTCAGTGTAATTTTTTTCTCTGAACGCAAAATATTTGACTGAAATTCCCTCTTTAATAACAAAGCCATGTGACCCTATTATTTACATTACCTTGGTATTGAAGTGTTTACTGATGCAGCGAAGGATGTCTTGATCAATGCGGGTCAGTATCTTTTCTGGAGGTGCGTTCAAAGCCACTTGACCATAACACAAGATTAGAGTGCTTTTCACCTTCTCTACCTCAACATCATTACGTTCCTGAGGAGAGGAAAGGAAGGCGAGATGAAGAAAGATGACGTACGTTCCTTTACCATCAATAGTAACCCAAAACCTAATAAAAGTTCCAAGTACCTTGAGAAGGTTGAAGATGCTTGGTGACTTCTTGAAGGCGTCTGACTTGCTGAACTCTTCCAGCTTGGCCAGAGTTCCCTCCAGGTGGCTGTTGGCACACAGACCAACACCAATTGCAACTCCCTGATAGATACAGGTGACAGACACGACAAGTGAGATCGTTAACTTGTCCAGGTGTGAAACAATCCAGCCAATCATTGAGAAGATGTTTTCCGTTTAGTTTTGAAAACCACAAAACCAGAGAAATCATCACATGACATCTATCGTTACCTCTCTTTCGACAGCATCATTGTGTCGTGCCGCGAGGAGGATTTCCTGCAGCTGTTTTTTAACCAGCTCCTTGTTGAAACACTGTTGTAGAGTCACTCCTATACATCGATACAGGAAACTCTAGAGAGAGAGTGAAAAAGGCTCATTATATTATTCACCATATGTACTCAACTGTACTAAGTACAGTCTTCCTTGTCAATAGTTATAAGATCATGTCAGGGTGTCATGAAAATAACAACTTGACTATCCAAATTTACAACCACTTCTGAACCTTTGTCAAGATGTTGACATACTATTGTTAAATAAAAAGCGTAACATATCTACACTTCACCCTTTGAGGGGGGTGAGTTGAACTGTTCACCTCACTGTGTACAAATACACGGAGTAATGAGGAGGCATGGCTCTGTTTAAGGAAGTCATGTGCCTCAACGGATGATGACCTCTTTTAAACACAAATTATGACCAACCTGAAGCTCTAAATTAGGCTTTCTGCGTGGGTTTAGCAACTCGACGAACCACAAAACTATGTCCATCATTTAATGTCACTGGACTAACGTTGGTAACTACAACAAAGCAATCGGTTCGCTCCTGACTTGTGGGTGGAAAAGCTGTTGAAAGCACTTACTTTCTCTTCTAAGGCGTTGTTATACGTGGAGAGGTATCTTGTTGCCTCAGCTGCCAACTGACCCACCCACTTGTCATCCTCAATAGTAGCCAGGGTTTTAGACAAGAGCTGGAGACAATTTCATCTTGTTTAGAATGACAATTCAATATTTCCAACATCAACACGGACAACTAAACCATTAATGCACAATAAATGGGAATTATATAATATCTGAAATCTAATACGAGCTCAAAAGAAGTAATCTTTCTGTCCATTATCCTCACATTTTGGTTTTATTCAAATGCAAAACACTGACACATTATGTTGGAATGAGATAATATTCCCAAAAACAGAAGACAAACACACCTTCAGCAACTTTTCATCCCAGTCTTTCTTATCCAGGCTCTCTGTTGTTGACTCTGGAAACAACAACACACAGTCAGACCTCTACACTATAGAGGAGGAAAACTACAGTACATGACGAATGAAAAGGAAGTAGTGCAGACTTAAGTGTGGTCTCTGGTGTCACTACAGGGAATCAGAGCTTCCTCCAAAACTATTACTTTATTTGTTTACTATATTTCCATACCCTCTAGCATGGAAAGCAGAGGAGGTATGTCTATATCCCACAGTATCTCTGTATTGGGGTGGATGTTGATGCTGAGGATTTGAAGGAGAGAGAGGGACGGAGCTCCATGACCTCTGCTACTGAACGGGAACGCTGCATTCACCTGGGACACACAGAGGAAAACCAGGGCATAAACGCATGCAGACAAACCAGTCAGGATGTTATCAATTATGAATACATTTTACTTATTTAAGCAAGTAAACTGCACCATTTAGTGGGATTACTGTGCAACTCCATTCATGCATCCTCTATGTTGAATAAACAGTAAGAGTAGCTCTAAAAGTCAATATAGTTATTATAAAGTAACAGATTGTTGCTGAAGCATTAAAGGGGATCTCAGACTTAGCAGGATTATTTGGCAAGACGAACAATTGACACTACAATTCAACAATAACAAGCCGTTTCTCCAGCCAGTTCAGTGAACCTTTGTTTTAAACTCTAGACACAAGAGCAAAGAGAGTTTGAAACGTGAGTTATAGACTTGGATTCACTTACCAGCAGTCTGAGCATAAGTATTTGAGGCGAGGGCAGATTGACTGGAGGAGATACAAGAAAACATTTAGCTTGGAATGGATCACACAGAACAATAAGAATGGTAACTTTTAAAATGGTTAATAATTCATTTGTGATATTTTGTGACTTGCATCCAACATGGAACACACGGCAGATAACTTTCACATAGATGCACCTGGTCAGTAAATATTCCTCCTACCTTCCTGTGTGAAGTCTATGTTGAAGCTGGGCTCCTGGTTATTCTTCTTCTTGTTGCCCAGCACTATCAGACTCTTACACAGAGGAGTGGTGGCAATGCTGAACTGTGAAGGGGTCAGATAGTACAGCAGCTTTGGCCATAGTACCTGCAATCAACGAAGCATACACACGTTAGGTTTCTAAACACACAAACAACAATTCACTCTAATCCCAACTAATTTGTTATAAAACTAAAGCTTGATAAATATGCTCAGTCACCAACAGACCAGACAGTAGATAGTCTACGTACATCTGCTAGTCGTCCAACAGTGGTGGTCAGGAGGTGAAGAGTGTTGTCACACATCGTCCTCAGTGCCTCGTTAGTCACCTCCTCTGGATCTGTGGGCCTCTGGCCTCGCTGGAGACACAGAGACACAAAAATAAATGTTTCGTATTCCATCCCCTCAGATGTTCTTCTGTCATGCAAAAGGTTTGAAGTCTGAACAACTTGATTTGCAAGCCCCGGCTTCAGCTTGAGCGGATAAGAAGCACCTGTGCACAACATCATCTGTTGCATCACACAGCGCATTGGTTGTGGTTTATGTCACATATCGTCCATTGACCTCATGCACATGTGTTTGATGGCTTAATTGCTTTCTTAAACTTTGTGTCGTTGATTAGCTTTGTTGAACATAAGAAGGAAAATTGTTTAAATTACTCGAGCAGTAATTCTCTTTCAGGAAGATACATAAAGTAACTAAAACTACCACTCAAGCTACCACAATCACACAAGCCACATATACACGAGCATACATGCATGAATAAAATGGTTTTGAGACATAACTTCCACACAAATCCACTTTTTGAACTTTTAAAAGTTGTACCTGATACGTGTCAGGTAAGGCACAGTGTTGAACGATGAATCGAACCAGCAGCTCCCCTCCCTCCAGCTCCAGGTATCCGTGATGAGCCATCGCACTGATCACCTGGACCACACGCTTCTTAACCTGGGACACAGAGTGTGAGACATCACAACATCATGACTATCAGAACAACACAACTTCTTCAGGACAAACTTAACTGATAAAACAAGAGAAAATATATAAATTTTTTGGTGATTAAGCGGAATAGTCACGTGGGTGTCTCCAAGCATGTTACCTTGTTGCTGTGGTCAGCCATTGGTTGTCTGATGCTGGCCAGAATCAGCAGCTTCTTACTCTCCATTGTGGCCGCTGAAAAAACACATTAAGACACACACAGAGAAGATTATCGGATAAATAACGGAGGATTGTGTAGTTTATATGACCCCACTATAATTCAGGGCACATTTAATAAGTTATGAACCTATGATAAATCAATCTCTGATGCTTGTGGAGTAACAGACATGCGTGTTTGGGATGAGTTGGGGATGCATGCGTTTGTGTATTGTCTCACTGGTAGAGTTGATGAGGTGACGCAGCACTGCCAGGGAGCCCATCCTGTTTCGCTCATTACTGTTCTCTAACTTCTGAAGAACAAACATGACCAGTCGGTCGGGGAAGGAGTTAGCTAGAGGGAAAGGAGTGGAGAGGAGAAAGAAATTTAAAAAATGTAAAATGCTTAAATTGTCACAGAAACACAAGAACAAGGGCAAAACGCAGGAAAGAGAAGCAAGACAAGAGAGAATGGGTGAGAAGTAGACCATCTGTCACAGTTGATATGATTATGTTGTGGAGGACACAGAGTCTCACACACTAATGGATGATCTCATTACTGGTCTTGTGACTCCATAGAACTAAAACATATAGAAAGGCTTCTGGACAACTTTCAGCTACTATCCCACACTGAACTTGGTCGCCACAGACTTTCTTAATCAACGATCTGGATTTAATGTAGTGGCAACACAGAGCACATTAAACACCAACACCAACTGAAGAGCTGCTGTACCTAGTAAGCTGAAGCAGCGCAGGACCTCGTTGTGGTTCTTGATGGTAGGAGGGTTACTGTAATCAAGAGGGGCAGACACCTGGGAGAGAGAGAGAGAGGAAAGGTTACACTGTTCTCTGTGACAGCCATGTTTTAAATTGTAACCTAAGTTTGCAGTGACTATTATTTGTTCGTCAAGGGAGCGGCTGAATAAACATGTTATTTTTATACAGTAGGAAGCAAGTAAGACGTGAGAAGTTTCACACAAACACAATCTCTTACTTGGGCTCAGTTTATGACTAACTGGATATAAGAAATGAGACATTTGTTAAGGAACACCATTTTCAAAGCCAACCTTTTTAAATTGTGAGAACTTGCGTTCGCAAGCAGCTACCGTAATTTGGACCTGCCAAACTGCTATCAACTCTATCAACAGTTTATTGTTAACAAACAAAGTAATGGGAATGATAACTGTAACTGTCAGATACTGCTGCTCTATCATTGTGGTGAAACACTCTCCACCAGACAATCCAGATCATACACACATACCGCTGGCAGAGTCATTGTGGTAAAATGTTGCAATAGTCAAGGCATGGGGCCAAGTGTCAGCTGAGTCACAGTGTTATGAAAACATCTAACTACAGCAACTATCTGACAGCCATGTGACACGTCTTAAAGATAGCAGTGAATATAAGATGCGAAAGGAGTAATCCAGTCAGCCCACAGATTTGTGGTTTCGGGGGGGGGGGGGGGGGTCTGTCACTGAGCAGGAATAACTAAGGCACCATGACCATGCATTACAGTTGGTATGACAGAAACCTAGTCTTGTGATAGAAAGTGCTGTTGGGAACCAGGAACTGACAGTGGTCAGATCAGACAGATCCAGCTGAAGCTGATGTGATGTCGTAGTGTTGGTAAGTCTTTTATGCATGCAGTTTTCTCAAGCGCTGATACTGGGCACCCCTACTGCTCTTTTTTACTAACCATTCTGACATGGAAACAAACCAGAAAGTGAGAGCAAAAACGCTCCTGACCTACGTCTACTACGAGCAGACACTCAATGGCTCTGTGATGGTGGAGTGTTGGCTGCCCTTCTCTTGGCCACTGGTTGAATAAACTAAACATCGAGTTTGGCTCTTGAGAAACTCATAGATATAGTCTCGACATTTTAAGATGTCTGGGAAAAGTTTTTGGAACATCCGTGTCATGCCTCATCAGCTGCAGTGTTGAATTTAATATGCATGTATGTATGTATACATGTATGCATGCATGTATGCATACATACAGACATACATGTATGTCTGTACCTGTTGATGCAGTGCCAAGAGTAGACCGTCCAGTTGTGTCTCCAGCACCCTACTGCCCATGCTGACAGAAGCATCGAGCACTAGGGACAGACTCTGAGCGGAGAAAAAAAGACAGAAAATGAACCTCTGAGAAATCTCATATAATTCAGCATTTTACACACACTGTGACTGGGAACCTGTGTGTAACCACAAGCGCTGCTGAGGCACGTTAAACAAGCGATTCATTCATTAAGAGCCAGGAGGCAGTTTAGAGGGAGAGTGATGGTCTACAGTTTGCTAACACAAATTATCTATGTAATGAAATCTATAACAAACGGTCCACCACACTCATGCTGCAGCACACACACACCTTGCTGATGAGATAGTGCTCATTGTTTTTCTTGTACAGGGACAAGATGGCCAGAATGAGTTTAGGAATCTGCTCCTCCAGCTTATCGCTGGCCATCAGATGGCACATAGAGCCCACTGCCTCAGCCACTGTTAGCCTCAACTGAACACAGAGAGACAGAAAGACAGGAAAGACATTAGATTACAGAGATTCATACTTGTAACAAATAGACGAGTGTAAATAGAGAAGGGATAAAAAGGGAACACACGTCATACAAAATAATAATAATACATACAAATAAATAAATAAATAAATAAATAAATAAATAAATAATCATGTTGGTCAAAAGACAATACAGCTTGTGGTCATTCCTTGTCATTGTTGTTCGTGGCCATCTCATCACAGTTCTATACTGTACGACTGTACTCTATTCTTAATGCATCTTTCAGGTGGAAGAATAGACAACAGAACAAGACATGTTTTATTCAACCAAATGTTCCGTCGCTGCATGACCTTCTGAGATAATTTGTTTTCCAGTTGTCAAAAAAGGTCCCTGCTTTCTGTAATGCAACATGAGGGTACAGTGGTTACATTGTTAGACTAGGACTTAATACAGCTTCATAATTCTGGATGAGATGTGAACAATTTAATTGGGAAACAATTAAACTAAAAAGTCTGCCTTTGTAACCTCCGTGTGCCAACAATATGAAGGCCTTACAGGTATGGTGCTGCAATGCCTGAGGCTCGTGGGTGAGTGAGTGTGTGGTCAGGTGGAAAAGATTTTCTGGTAGTTGTCATGACCTGCAAAGCTTAATCACATTTGTTGGTGTTAATCTGTAGTGCAAAGATATGGCTGCCTTTTTCTCTCGGTGGCCACATACGAAAAAAAGACATTGGTTCTCGCTACGCTCAGCATTAGGCTTACCTCAGCTCAACTACTTATTTTTGAACATGACTTTGTAAGGTGCATAGTCCACTGTACATCAAACCATCTTGCTGAACCCCCAACATGGACCTGCAGTGAGCTTACCTTAGACTCCCTGCTTTGTAACCAGTTATTGAAGAGGATGTCAAAAGCAGCAAAGATTTCAGTGGAAAATGTGTCCTTTCTCACTGTGGGATCTGGAGCCTTGTCCAGGTTGGCGAGGTACTCCAAGATACTGTCGCTGAAATGACGCAGAGCTGGAGAAAGACAAGCAAAACAGAGGGGAACGGGAAATTAAGGAGAGACGAAAACAACGGCCATGTTTCCATTCAATTGTTAAGCAAATGTTAACTTTTAAAATGTCGGAAAAAAAATATACGTGAAAAAGCTGCATTTCCATCAACTGGTTTTGAGTGAATAAACTCTGTGGTTTGGTCCTACATTTGCTCTGTAGGCTATGAAAGGCTGAAATCTGTCAATAAATGTTTCATACTGGCTGGTGACAAAGACAAGCATCACGATATGGGTATATACGAGAAGACGGCAACAGCGGAAACAGCTGATCAGTCATGTTAGTTAAACGTTCGCAACGTCAGAATTAACTCGGCAAAGGCGTTTCCATAATCCATTTAACGGTAAAGCATCAACTGTTTTTGGACAAATGCAAAAACCACCTAAAGTGAACTTAAAAACTTGTTTTGACAATTCAGGAAGTTTTATTGAATTTTGCAATTTACATTCAGCTTTTCTCACACAATAAATACATGAATATGTGAATGGAAGGAGGCTAATGTTTTTGGAGGCGAGTACCTGGCAATAGTGTTTAAAGAGGTTTGGAGTGGGGTTAATATATTTGAACAGTTATGACAATTTTAAAAAGCCTGTAGAGAGGTTCTTACCAGAGGCGAAGACCCACTTCATGTTGTCCTGTTTGGCCAAGCTCAACATTGGCAATAAGGTGCCCAGAATAGCATTCAGGAAGGGTACCATGCCATAGACTAGAGAACAAAGAACAATACTGCATCAATGGGACGTTATTGTTTTATCACTTCCTCTGTAAAGCAGGGAGACATACACTGTAATACTGTACCGAGTAAGAGATAATGTATAAGCGTTAAAAGAAAAGCACGGAGGAAGATTTTCGTAGTCACAGGTGGAATCCATCTTTTGTTAAAATCACATTATGCATCAAAATACGGGAAATATCATTTCAATGCATCTCTGTACTGGTCAATGACTCAGTTATTAAAACACAAATGACAGCTACTGTTATCAGACAAACAATGACCAGGATGCTGCTTAGCCCCTGATCTACATCAGTGTCATATACTATCATTTACTCATTAACTATTCGCTCATATTGAGTCCTGAATGCTGTACAAAATGTGGCTGCAACGGAGCAATTCTGTTCTCGCTGCAGGGTCAGAGTGGTTATCATTAATTGAAACCATGTATTTGTTCATGTCATCTCCTGCAGTTCATTACGTCCTAATCCTTTAGTAGTAGGGTAGAGAGTTTTAAATGAGTGTAACATACATAGGATTAGAAATAAATCAGGCTTTAAATATCCAATACTAATCAAATAAAAATGTTTTGATCAGTTCAGTGGCTCTGGGCATCCCTAACTGCAGCAAGTGTGAGTGGCGGAATTGCCGTTTTTGGACAGGTTTAACAGGTTTATGTCTTTCTCAACAACCTCTGAATACCTGTGTGTGTGTGTGTGTGTGTGTGTGTGTGTGTGTTCTTCCTTATGGCCTTAACAAGGTGAATATGTGCGTTCTTTGTCTCTGTGGGTGTAAATATTCTCTTACCGTTGGAATCAGAAAGGTTGGCCAGAGTCTGGACCACAAAGAAGTGAGGTAGGAGCCCTGGCTGAAACTTGCTTAGTATTTCCTCCATGATGTCATTGATGTGCTTGTTACCCACAGCAACCAAAATATTACTGGCCGCCTGCTGCCAATCAGGGATGACCTCCTGAGTGAACCAGGAAGACGTAGAGAACAAAGTTAGGAACATCATTTATCATCAGCCTCCCGAAATGAACAAAAAATGAATGATTAAAATCTGAGGTTTTACTTTTGATCGTGTCATCTCATCTGAAGCCAGCGAGATGATACTTTTTATTCTGGGGGAACTGATCTCCTCTATCCTGCAGCCAACAACCAGCTCAATAGTTTGAAGAATCACAACTCTGTGGCTCACGACCAGCTAGAGGAGGACGAGGAAAGAAGAAGAAGAAAAGAGACACGGAATAACGGTTAAAAGCACATCTAAAACAAAATGAAATACTAATTACGGCACCGCCAAGTAAGATATATTCAATAGAAGTTAAATAAAATATGACACTGCACATTCAATATAAAAGGACATCATTTGTACTACAGTATGTTGTTGATTTTTCCCAATCTTCTGATAATCACAAAGTCAGAGGCGGCGATACAGAGTGATAAGATGTTGCAGCATCACACAGACACAAGCTGATTCAGAGCTCTGTGGGGACATTTCTGAGGAGCAAATGTGTTGCAAGTAAAATAATGGCCAAAGAACTGAATTTGAGGGATGTTTTCACTTTAACATCAAGCTACATTAGCAACACTTTTTTCAGGAGGACTGATCCTATTCTATGTATTCTCTAGGCCCATGCAGGTAAAATGTTAGCAGTGCAGGACTGCATTAGGCAACATGAGTCACTTTGTATCTCAATAACAGTACAATTTCAAGGAATTAAATTGACAAAACATTTACAAACTAAAAAAACAAAAGTCAGAGTCTCTTTGTAATATAAGTGCATAAACAGCTATTTATGGCAATATTTACATCTTGTACATGTGTGAAACCAAACACTAGGGGCTCTTCCAGATTTAACGGCTTAGCAACAAAACCACAAACATTTCCATCATCTAGTACCACTCTTTGGTGTTTGCTGCAATTCTGCTTTTTGTTCAACGTGGGGGACTTCCCCTGCAGCTTCCACTCTGTGTGCACAGTGGGATACTGACACCAATAGTAACACAAGCACTACATGTTAGAGGAGTTAAATGGTAGTGTTGGCATGCTCATGTATAGCAGGCATGATTATCTGGCCTTTTGACCAGAGCTACAAGAGCGTGCACTGATAATTAGTTCCAGGTTACTCTGGTATGATTTATTAGAGCAGGCCTGAGGCTGACACTCTGAGAGTTGGTTGACATACAGTGTAACAGAGTTGTTTTCTGGGGTTTTACCTTTGGGTGTTTCAGAAGGTAGTCCTGACACATGGCTAACACTCTGTCTGGCTGCTGTTTTCCCAGAGTCAACATAGACTTTCTGACCTGATCCTGGACCTCCGAGTCTTTATCAGTGGCCGCATCTAGCAGAGCCAGGGTCACCTCTAGAGGGAAACACATGACAGAACGGAGACAAGTCTGAGCAGGAAAAGTGAAATGTAGAAAGAAGAGAGAGACGGAAGAAACACAAATGGCTAAACAAAGTTTGAGACCAATGTGTCTAACAGAGCACATTCATTACTGTAGCTGAATGGAGGCAGACAGAGAAGAGGAGAGAAGAGATGAGAAGTCAAGAGCAGTAAAGAGAAGAAGCTCACGTTCAACATCCGTCGCTTCCATGGTGGACAGCAAGAGGGCTGGCTTCCTGGAGCCTGTGGCCGAGGATGTAGCTTCCCTCCTGGGGTACAGGTGGGCACAGGCTGCCTGCCAGACAAACCAGATGAAGGAGAGTTACAGCTGAGAGATCACAGCTTCGATAAAGAAAAACAACTTTGAGAGGACAACTTTGTCATCAACCAAAAGCTATCTGAATACAATGTAGCTTAATGTCTCTTCAGCTGTCTACGCTTTAGCTGACCTTACCTGTTCAACACACTTCTTCAGCTACTCACACTACCCCTAAAACAAATACCAAGTAACTGATAGCTAACTGGTGTAGTAACTTTATAATATTACGACGCCCTATAAAGATGACATTGATCCTAACACAACGAGCAGTGTTAGCCGAGTAAACTCTAAGCGTCATGCCTTTCTTTAGTTGGTGTCATATAATATCTGGCTTAGACCTGCTCGGGTGGTGATGCTGCAGCAGCAGCGAGCTAACCGTCTGACACACGTTAGCATGCTAACCTAGCAGCTGCTGCTACGGAAGAGCCGACAGCGCCCTCACGTCACAGACTGGAGGAAAACAACAGCCTTGCTAATACTTACCGAGTCCCTGTGAGCGTCCGCTAAACAATTACCCCTCACGACAAAAGTGCTTCTTATCTCGGGTTAAACTAAAGGCTGTCCTGTCAGTGACACAGTCAGAGTGGGTGCTGCGTGTCTTTCTGTCACTGCAGGTGTAAACACGCCTGGTCATGTGCTTCTAGTCAGGCAGGGGGCGTGGCCAACGCTTCAGTATCACAGCACTGAGGCAGATAGAGCTGCTACTCAACATCAATACTGTCTGCTGTAGCTTTGCATGAGACTGCTTTATATTATGGAGACTACTGTTATGCAGGACTCAACTTTATATTCAAACATTTTTTTTAAGTGTGTCTCATATTTGCATGTGTCTGTGTATCGACCATTACTGTTTCTTCCAGGTTTAACTCTGCATAATGGCGCAGTGGAGAAATAAATGTTGAGATATAAAAATACTCCATCACAGATTAAAAAACTGTTACTGAGTCAATCAAATTAAATAAAGCCCTACTTAATTAAAAACAGTCACTGGGAGAATATATTGTTATCATAAGAATATGCTAGGTAGGTAAGTATAACTCACATCAGATACTTAATATTGTGCTGGGCTGTTTGAATTGTAACAATCCATATTTTATAATCTGATTGTATGAAGATTAGAATAAGCACAGTAATGTAAACTACAGCTGTCAGATGAAGAGTAAAAAAAGTTAAAGGTATAAGCTTAAAATAGAAATACTCCAGTCAAGTACAAGTGCCTCAAAATCGCACTTAGTCATGGTTGTCAATGTCTCATTTGAAAACATAATTTTGATTAAAGTGTTAAATGATATAATGTGTCACGCACCCCTCAGCACCTTCAAAGTCTTGATTGCCACATCTTTTATCACTCACTCTTTAATGACGGTCTGACTCAGCTTTGACTCAGGCATCTCTGCTAACCCTCCACTTCCTCCCTGTACTCATGTCTGTGCAAGACCAACATCAGAGCTCTAACAGTTTCATCCTCCTCCTGATGAGTGACACACGGCTGTCAAAGTGTGAAAGCATTTCACAACAGGGTCCCAAAACCCAAACTATGCAAAGGTTTTTGTGTGACATCTGGTGGAGGAGACGGCATGGCAGGAATTCTGGAAATTTAGAGTTCAATGGGCAAATCTGGTGTGACTTATCCAAATACAATTATTTAAAAGTTAAAACATTCCAAGTCCACTGTTATCAATAGCCGTTTGCCTTACTGTTTAAATGTGAGTCAATCAGGGAAATAACATAACCAGGAAAATACACTGATAGCCGTAGTTTTGGACAGCTTTGCCAAATATTCCAAACCCCTCAATTCAAATTTTTACATTTTTGACAGCCCTTAAAGACCTTAACTGTAAATTATAATTCTACTGTATGAGATGAAGAGGCTAAAACATTCATTTGGTGAGCACCATACGCCCACCCACCAGCCCTCCTATTCCACCCTGTTTGTGATGGAGGTTTTGGTGAGCACAAAAGACATAAAGCTATTCAACAGTCCATGTTTTTATCAAACACAAAGATGTAATGACATGTGTAGGTACAGTGTACAGTGTTTAATGCAATATTACATCAACACTTCATTAACATGGTCAGGCAATTTGCAAACATGACATAATTATGTCAAAGTATCTCAAATCAAAAAAGCTGCAAGTTAAATATTTGACTTAAAACATTTTCACTTGAACATATTTGATTACTGGAAATATAGTGACTATTAAAATGAAATAACTTACAGCATTAAAACATTTTGTTATGTATATGTTTTACATATCACATATTATTACAGGTACTTTAAGGAAGGTTCTCGTAATAAAAGCTGATTTTAATTAGAGGTTCCCTACATGGCAAGTGTCATTTGCCGACCGTATATAAAGTTCATCCAAAAAGAAGTGCTCAACAGTTAAGTTGGTTACAAAGTCAAATATGGCTTCAAGTTCAAAGCCTCTCATGATGTATAACAATAAAAATATCTCTCATGTATGGTTTGAAAACAATACATATTAGTGCATGGTAATTATATAAAGGTTAGATAGGTTAAGTTAATGCTGAATACAGTGTTAACTACAGTGTTATTTGATTTTTAAAAATATGTTTACACTTACATAATCATCAGAAGAGCAGCTACAATGCATGTCGATAAAAAGTGAAAAACACTTAAAAGATATATATGAAACACATCATTAACGGAGGAATATTTCCAATGCATTACACAGGATATCATGATACAATAACAAATAGTAAAACAATAAAACACGACCATGTGTATGTGTACAACATTCAAAATGCAGAAGGTCAACATTTTTGTGTGACTTTTAGTAAATATAGCAAACAAAAAAATTATTTAAAACACCAACAAGTTTACCCTGTAAAACACAGACAACACGATTACCCTGTAAAATGAGACTTTGTCATTTGAGCCAATCTAAATCAGAGCACGCAGAACAACACAAAAAACACAAAATGACATCGCCCCCTGCCTGCAGCCTGTGTCAATCTTCATGTGAACTGGAAGCTGTGAGATTTCATGCCATCCTCTCACTCCAACAACACAGACGCCTTTCCCATAGCAGTTGTATTGAATGTAGAGATCGCCGACGGTTCGACTCAGTCATTCATACTGAGTGGTTGTTTGATATCTTCTCTTGTTGTCTGTACATCATCCTTGTTTTCTCACACTCCTTCTTTCTTGTTTCTCAGGTTTCTGGCCTCATGCGTTGGCGGTGTGCATGTCTCTGCTCGCCTGCTTTTTCCTGCGTGAAAGAAAATAAGACATTGGTATAAAAACATATAAATGTAGATCAATCATTTACTCTGTGGTAGAGATTTGATCTCCGTGCGCTATAGTCTGAATGAGCAGAAATAGCCATAAGACAGAGTTTTATCATTTCCTCGAGTCAAACACTGTTGTTGCCAGAGTGCTGTGCAGACAGATCGAGGAGATTTTCAAGGAGATTTTCTTCATAATAACTACATGTAGTCTTTGATTTCAACATCGATCTCAACATCAAAGTCTTCAACAACCTATTTCTGTTCCATTACACATGTTTTACAACATCTCTGCATGGTGGGCAGGGACACTGACTTTAAAAAAACATTCATGGAAGGATATAATTGGGTTTGCAGCTCATTCCTTTAATTGTCTAAGGATGGAGAACGCTTTGTTATCAGAGTGAAAGGAAACAGCTTACAGCGGGTGTTTAAACTTAGGTTTGCTGTTTATGGGAATGAATGAACATACTCGTGTTTGGTAAGCGGGGCTTTGTCGCAGGTGATCTCTGTGAGCGGCCCCCCGTCCTTAGTGAGTGTCTGCACCCCCGCCTCCGAATGTTGCACGCTGCCTCTCGGAGTGGATATACCCTTCAGCTTCACTTCTCTGCCGTCAAACAAAGGGTTTGAAATATGATGACGACAACTTAATGACGGACATAAATAGTGAAAATATACGTGAATACTTATCCAACACCTACTTACCCGTTGGTTCCTTCTCCTTCTCCAATCATTTGGTGGCCTGGGACTTTCTGTCCAAAGACTTTCACAGCGATGGACATGAGCAGGCCGCAGCGATTTCTGTAGCAGCAGGTGGCGTCTACCACCAGGAATACCACCAGGAAGATCACCATCACGATGATAACCACCTGGCCTTTGGTCATGCTGCTCACTTTGACTGAATGAGGGAGATGAAAGAGTCAAGGTGACCGAACTGAAAGTATGGCAAACACCTCCATTGTGGCAAGCAACACGTTTTTTGTGAGTGGATCTGTCACACCACAATGACGAGGTGCAGTTAGTCTCTATTTGTGTCACCGCTCCCAGTTCATAGTTTAGGCCAGTTTAAGTGTATGATATAAGGAGTGAAAGGCCACATACCAGGCTGATTTGCAATGGAGAAGTTGAACATGGCAGGGATAGAGGAACCATTAGGGTTGACGGATAAAACTTCCAGTTGATATTCTGAGCTGTAGGACAGATCTTGAAGGGAGATAGAGTCAGCATTGGACGGCAGCTGCATCTCTTTCCACTCACTTCTCTCTTTATCCTGAGAGAGCATATGGAACCGAAGGATGAAAGTAAGGAAACAACACAAACAAAAGGAGAGATTCATTGAGAAAGGCCAAGACAGGCTCACGGGGTCTCTTACCTGTCTGTATCGTACGTCAAAGTGCAGCAGAGGAGTTCCACCATCATCAGTCTGTTTAAGGGGGACAGAGAAGGAGTTGCCCTCTACTTTCATCTCATTGGACAACAAAACAGGGCTGTCTGGTTCACCTATGGACAGGAGGCAAAGAGAAAAGAAAGAATTTATGACCAATTGATGAGCTTCCATGATATAGACAAATATATACAGGTTGACTGGGCATGTCAGTTTATTTCTTCATTGTTTAGTGGATCACTGTGGGTACTTTACCTCCTGAGGATGGATCACAGGGGATTAAATGGTGTCATCAGCAGCATGAATGAACGTCAGGCAGCAGATGACGGTTGCATGAAAGATGAATAAGAAAAATGAGTGATGGCAGATGAGGAGGAAAAGCCTTGCTTGCAAGACATATAAACACTGGCATGCAGGAATACTTGCACCTACACTAAACATACATTGTACATCATGTAAATATGTATACAATGCTCCACACATATGATATATGAATGTGGTGTGTGTTGACAGCGATTGTTGCTAATGTAGTGTGTGTACCACTTACGTAATCCCTGGGTGCGGACGGTGTTTTTGTCTGAGAACTGTCCCACTCCCACTGCATTCAAGGCAGCCAAACGCACTGTGTACAACGTGTACGGCGTGAGGGAGGGGATGGCTAGGGGATCTACAGAATGATTAAATGTGAGGTGATGGTATCAGCAGTTTAAAGTATAAATGATTCACTCACTGATCTGCTTTTCTCCTGAGAGTCATGATACACAACTATAAAAGCCCCTTTGAAAAACAGATGTTTTACCTGAAGCTGGGACTGTGATCTCCTTCCACTGCTCCGCTGCACTTTGCCTCCACTGCAGGACGAAGCTTGTGATCGGTGTTCCTCCACTGATGGGTGGAGTTTTGAGGGAGAAGAGGACTGAGGTTAGTCCAGGTGAGACTGACAGGTAGTGAGGCGGACCAGGCTGGGCTGTGTGTAAGGAGGCAGGTCAGAGAAAGATAGAAACGTGTAAGTGTCATGGTTATAAGTAAAGATTAAATCTACTTTTCCTCCACTCAACTTTTGTCTCAAAGGCAAAGACAGACAGAAACTCTTACTGTGTATTGCAACGTCTCTCGATGCGTTTCTAGAGGTGCTGACAGCCATGCAGGAATATATTCCACCATCAGAGGGCACTACCTCATTAATCACCAATGCACCATCAACAACACGGACAAGTCCAGAGGTAGAGTCCTGACAGAGGGAGGCACAAAAGGAAATGTCCAATCATATATTGGAGCAATCTTAAGTCTTTAATGCTCAAATATAACGTTGTTGGAGTAGCTGAACAGTGTGGAAAGTCAACACGTAGCAACAGTAACATGGAGTTAACTAGACTGGACTGTCAGAGCTGTAGGGGCTGAAAAGTACTGGCTACAAATGTCAGATTGATTGAGACTGGCAGCTGATGTTGTATATGTGTGTGTGTGTGTGTGTGTGTGTGTGTGTGTGTGTGTGTGTGTACCATAAACTCTTACCAGTGTGCGTCCGTTGTGCTTGTTGAGCCAGTGTAGCTCAGGCTGAGGATGGCCAGAGACGTTACAGGACACAGAGACTCTCTCGCCCACTGATACACTCTGCTGCTCTGCTGACACAAACACCTCTGGGGCCTCTGAAATGAAACATCTCATGTGTCATGATAGCACAACAGGATACAGTAAACATGTCCCCAATAGCAGGTTCATGTAGTGATTATAAGTTCATTTTTATTGTATGTCGTTGTTGTTTGTTGTGTTTTGGTGATCTAATGAAGTTATCAGAGGGGTGGAAAAATATCATATGAAATTGAACTTACCATAAACATGAAGCATAATGGTGGCACTGCTCTCAGCTATCTTGTTGGTGGCGGTGCAGATGTACCCTCCGTAGTCGGCCCTGGTAACAGACCTGATAGTCAACTCGCTGCGGTCTGAGTTAAACTGATGATGTGAAGGGTCAAACGTCGCCGGCCTGGGAGGAGGACAAGCAGAGCAGAACACACAATGAGTAATGCTACAGGGATTTGTTATTCATATGGATTTTAAACACTGGGGCATGTCATGCAGAGACCACACACACACGCAAACGCACACACACACGCGCACACACACGCACACACACACACCTCTCCCAAAGTCAGGACTTACATGATCCAGGTGATGTTGGGTTGTGGTTGGCCGTCCACCGAACACACCAGGGAAACGTTGGTTTCTGGTCCGGCAATCACTGTTTTCATCACTTCTCCCAGATGCACAGAAGGAGGAGCTGCAGGAGGGAATCACGTTTTTTATTCCAAATCATGCATTGTTAACACTTCAGTTTTATTATGGCATCATTATGACTCAAAGCAAAATTAAGCCATCCCTAACCATAACACTCATTGGCACAATTATGTTACCCACATAAGAAAGGATCTTTGTGTCATAAACAAACTGTCACCCCCTGACCACTATCAGGTGTTTCTTCACTATCACTATTCTGAAAAATGCTCTATAAATAAAATGTATTATTATGATTATTATTATTTAATATTCATGTGTAAAAGAAACCGACCATTGACAACAACGGAGACGGAGAGTTGCCGTTTGATGGGCCTTCCTCTGATCTGAGCCTCACACACGTATGTCCCAGCATCCTCTCGCTTCACATTTTCAATGAGGACTGAGTTATCAGACAGCCGATGCACACGCCGTCCTGCTGGAGTCAGAGATGGCAGGATAGAAATGCAGAGACAGACAGAGTGATGGAAAGATTAGAAATGGTAAAGAAAGAGGCAAAAAACACAAAAAGACAGAAAAGAAAGTTATGTTGCTGCATGAGAGTCCAATATTCAGTCATGTCAAGTTTACAAAATGTGCAAAGCTTTTTTGTAAACTATGAAATAACCCTTCAAACATCAGGAGACCTCCATGCCCAGGGTGCTGGTCCTACCATCAGAGGAGATTTCTTCTCTGTTTCTGAGCCAGTGAACATCTACGACTGGCTGGCCGGTCACCAGACATGGCACCAATCCATCTATGCCGTTCAGAAACTCATGGTAGGTGTTGGTGCTCCCAAATGATGGACCCTCTGACAAAAGAAGAGAATGCTTAAGATGCTTACTTTCTATGCAACACAGCAAGAAAATGAAGGGTATCATCATCAAAATGTGGGTTGGTTTGTTATACAATTTGCTGAATATTACCAATTTCTATTTCCTAGCTAAATAAAAGATTAGTTACAGTAGACAGGTTCAGCAACAACTGCCATCTGTTACGTACCATAAACATACAGCTGTATTAAAACGTTATCTTTGTCTCCGTTGTCGAAATCACACAGACAGGTATATTTGCCCGCATCCTGCATCGAAGCCTTCTTAATGACCAATTTAGAAGAAGACTCATCCATCTTTGACACCCCGTCTTCCACGTCAATGTCACTCCCGTCCTTCTTCCACGTTATATCTCCCTCTCCCCCAGCTAGGACAGGAGAGGAGCAGCAAAGTAGGAAGAGACAGAGTGAAAATAAATGCTTTAACATGCTTACTTTTAAACATCTAGAAGAAGTTTTCAAACTGAAAAATGTCATTCACATGGACGAGCTTCATTTGTCAGCAAATTAAATTGAAATGACTCACCTTTACACAACATGAAGATCTCTTCTCCCACCTCAATGTCTAGCTTAGTGGTAATGATTTCCATCTTTGCATCTAGAGGAGGAGGAGAAGAGTTTTGTTTTTCTTTTGCACCTGTTTCTAACATTGAGTTGATGACAAAACAGTTTAATTTAACATCCACATTGTAAATTCTTATGATTACTAAACTTACTTTGGCAGAAATAAATTAACAACAAAAATACAAATTCACTGACAGTAAATATAATTATTTATCCTTTTTAAACATAAAAAAATGGGCTGAAATAACACATGTAGCCATGTTGACATTATGACATAATGTCTGTTGAAAATAACAAAGTAGGTCATGGTGCAAAAAAGACAGATGTGGTTTGAAGCATCTGACATGAAGATCATCTGAACTAAGGACATCAGGACATCTAACTGTTATTCCTGCTTACACTTTAAATCACCAAGACAAACCTACTTTTGCTCTAAGTCTCCATATTCTAGCCATGCAGTGTGTATTAAAACATATCATTATGACTCTGTCTTTCTTGTAGAAATCTTAATAAAGTCAACAGATCTTACCCGTGCCGTGCAGCAGCAGCAGCAGCATCAAGGCCATCTTTAGGATGACAGCTGATTGCTTCATCATGTTCACCCAGCTGCTGATTGCCAATCCTGTATGACTTGAGATCAAAACTCTGCAGTTTGTCTGTTGAGTCTGAAGGTTTTCCAGTCAGCACAGCTGGACAGAATGCCCAAATACTAGTAAAAAAATGAACCTCTCACCTTAAGTATATGTGACTCTATATCACACTGACAAGCAGACACCTGTTATTTCCTAACCACCTAACATGAGCATGATAGGGAGAGGGTCCGTGTCAGAGGTTATATAGGAGCACAAGAGCAGAGGAGATGAGAGGAAACGAGAGAGGGGTGGGGGAGAGAGGGAGAGAGAGAGAGGGCGAGAGAGAGCGAAAGCATTGCTCTCTCATCCTCCTTTAACCCCAACCAAGTTACTGTTGGAGAAATGGGAGGAGATGACTGAATGATGTCCGTGCCCCTCTCATTCCAATCTATTTCTCTTTTCCTTGGCTAACAATTGTCCCTATACCTGTCCTTTGTCTGTCCCTTTTTTTTCTAGTTTTTTTACCTCTCCTCTCTCTCTGTCTCTCGCCTTCTCTCACTCCACCCTGTTCCCTCTCTCTTCCTCCAGGCCACCGGATGAAAGCCCCCTCAGGGGAAGAAGAGATGGGGAAAAGATATTTTTTTATCATTCCATCGTTCACAAAAGGTTCACATGCTTCTCAAGCACACGGAACAAACTGCTCACCCAGTGTGCCGAACACTGCCACCGTTCACATTTCCTGAAAACGTACGTCCTTTAGGATGCTGAAATCAACGACCTCAATGACACCCATTCTACTGCAAAGAAAACATTTTCTTCACTTGACTTAACAGCTCATACCCGGTGATTGCAAAATAAACTGTATTTGAGGGTGTTGATCGTGAACTAGGCCTACAACATTTAATCATCTAATTCATGTAGTCAAGTCAAAGTCACATCAAAGTAACATTTTGATTAAAGTCAGTGGTGTGTTGTGTTATGTTCAAAATTTCTCAAACAAAAGGTAAAGGAAAAAGCCCCCCTCCTTGTTCAGAGGAGAAGAAGCATGCAGAGGAGAAGAGGCAGCCCCCCCTGCTCTCTTTCTTCCATCATTAAGCATGGCCGAATCAGCTGGTTGAAGTTTAAATCAAAAGGAATTTAATATACTAACAAAAGCAAATGCAGTTACAAACTGAATTACACTATCAACAGTAATATTTCATGAAATAGAGGCCCCATCTGCACCACACGACAGACTGGTGTGTCCGCCTCATGGTCCAGATGAGGTCTGATTATCTCCGGGGATTCACAGTTTCTTTGTCTCTCCAAAGTCTCTGAAATGTCTCATATTACACATTCCTTAGCCCATCGATCAGCTCAGTGATTGGCTGAACCCTTCGGACTTCAGTCGGCCACTTCCTTGACCCATTCCTCCCCTCTTCTTGAAGGCTGTGCTCAGAAACTCTTCAGCAACATCCCCCTCTCTCTGACTTTATGGCGGTGTCATAAATTCTCTGGTTTCTCTCTTAGTGCACAACAAATTCAGTAACTCTCACTTTAGTTTAAACCTTCTACAAGTAAACATATTGTAACACATAATATCCATCGCTAGGAGCGCTTTAAAACTTAAATCCCTTACAGTTGACGGTGGCTTTTTGAATTAGCATCATTAAGCTTTATAACTTTGAATCAAATTTATTTTAAACAGCAGACATTTTGACATAGGAAAAACACTAGTCTTACTTACAACATCAACAATGGCTTCGCTCTATTCAAGTTTCCCAATAAGCCATGACAGTGTGACTGTGAGCCAGCGTGACCAATACCAGGAGCCTGAAAACGGAAGCAGCTAAATGAAGTTCAGCCATCATTCTTTACACCTGTGCTTTTCTACTGTGACATGTCAAAATGCCTGCTGTGAACCACCGGGATCCTTACAGGAATATCTGGGGGGGGGGGGGGGGGGGGGGGGGTTCATGCATTGGGTTCGTCACAAAACTCTGAACAGCAGTTTTGGTCATTTGCCAAAGGGTGATGCTTCGTGCTTTACATGAAAGGGATTAAGGGGTCAGCAAAATGAGTATCCTAAATTGAAACACCCAATCCCACAGCTTACTGTACGTCACTACTCTTTCATCGTGTGGCGTTAGTGCCTGTTGCCAGTCAAGTTGTGTTCCTCTGGGTCCTATCACTTCTATTGGCCAACAGCCAGCCAGCCCCTCCCACCTCCCCCGTGATAGCCTATCAGTGTCTCTACGCCGCCGTCCGACCAGCCAATGAAACGGGCAGAGAGTCCGAAGGGGCCACCTATCAAGTTGATTATCAGGAAGAGCTATTATGGCTCATTAGGTCAGAGTGTGCTCATAATGAGGGCTGTTAACAAGGACCATTAACGAGGGTGGGCACACACACAGCGCCCTACATCACATTATTTTAAGCACTTCTTGTTGACTATCGTAAATGTTTTAATTGATTCTGCTGTCCACATTGTGTTACTGCAGGCCTAAGGCTCAACAACAACAACAAATCGATACTCAATTTAAAATTTTTAAAATAAGCTTTTAAACGGAACCAGTGTGGACAGACAGAGTACCTTGTCTTCTCCACCCACACAGTGAAAGCAGCTCGTTACAGTTACAGACCTTCGTCAACTAAACAGATCTAAACTGGATCTGTTTTAGGTGCTTGCTTATGCGTTTTGACAGAGATCATGAAAACTCTTATGTTGCTATGTAATATACAAAATACATTGTATGTAGTAAAAAATACAATACATTTACATAAGCCATTTTTTCAGTCTTTATATATATATATATATAATTGATACAGACACAGTAATGTATACATAAACAGCTGCATGTAACACACAGACAATGATGTGACAGCTGAAGACACGAGGACAAGACAGGTAGGAAGAGCGAGAGAGACAGACTCTCGTGACTGGAGAAAACACACCCTCACTCTCTGGATAAAACAGACCAGCGTGGATGTCTTTAAGTATCCTGGCTATGATAAGCTTGGCATATTGGTTTATGTAACTTTAAACTCAGTAAACTGTGTTGCCAAAGGCAAAACATTACACACATAATTGTTTGTCCCCTTTTGGATATCATGTTAGGATATCAGGATATTATTGTACTGAACACAGACGCATTGTTCCTTTGAGTTTGACTGAGCTCTGATCAGTGGTGTTTGCAATATTGTGCTTGACAAACGGACGGATGCAGATTCACAGTCCCAGTCCCAGATTCAGAAGACAATATGAGTCTGGAAACAAGGATTAACCTTCACTTGTGCAAACCCTTCTGCAGAAAGTACTTATCAATTATTCAAAAATTGCTAGAGCTTCCATGTCTCCACTTTATAAAAACTTAAATAATAAAAATGAATCAAATTCCTACGGCTGACAGGATATTTCCCGTCAAAGTTAAAAACTGAAGTATTAATAATGTAGAAAACAAATCAAAATTAGGAGCAATCATACCATCGTTCCCAATTTTGGGACTACAGATGAAAAATAGCCTTTTGGCTAACTCTGGCGCATTTGCAGAAATGTTTTTATTAATGTACACAGTCCCATTCAAATAAACCAATAAATAAATACAATGCAACAATGTCGTCACTCTATAGTATTACTGTAACATCAAGATGCAGGAAGAACTCAAAAAGATAATAATCAGTGCTTAGCTTGTGACACCAGAATGGTTCGTGCGTAATGTCACTGGCAGACTTGTCCTCTCCACCCAGCGGAAAGTATGTTTGACGTAAACTAAAGAGCAGCACCATCACCGTGTGTGTGTGTGTTCTCTTCACATGATAAGCTCACTGAAATGAGCTCTGAACAGTTTGATATCATTAAGAAGTCTAGATGTGGATTTGGAATTAAAAGGTTCAATCGGACTCATTAAAAGTGAGCAGCAACTTTCAAAGTTGCTCTATGCTGTAGTGTTGCCTTTGAAAGCTTGTTCAGGGTGATTATTGGAGAAGATTAGAGCAAATAACAGCCTAAACTACCAAAGTGTTAAATATTTGAGACAGGAGTATTCATTTCTTTGATTATTTTTGCTTCCACACCCTTCAGTCAAGCTGCAGCAATCTCCAAGGTCAAGTTATGATCATCCGTAAATCTGTAAAATTAAAAAAATACTGATTTGAACAGTTAAAAGTCAAACTCAAAAAGGTGAAACTCAAAACATTAGATTGACTCAGACTCTGAAAATCTTCTTTCCACTCTCATGTTTGTTGGGCAGTTGTTTTGGACAAACTCAAAATTATATTAGGTCACACATTTCCCCTTACAGCAACTAATATAACTGTGTTTGTATTCATTGTGTCTCTGTTTCAAGATAAATGAATGGACACATAACTTTACACTGATTTGAATAAACGTTTAAGGATGTCAGAATCATTTTCATGATTACTTTAGTCCCACTTTGTTGCAGCCCTCTATTTATCACTCTGCTCTGTTAACATATACTCAGTATTTAGTAATTATATGACAACTGGTTAGTACATATCATCTTACCTTTACTATGTATAAAACAATTATAAAATGACTTTACGTTTATTTAAGAGGACAAACATGTAATCATTTAGTTTGCAAAAACAATCCTGCAACAGTGCAGTTGTAATTAACATCACACTAATCCAAGTACTGCTTATTCCTCGCAGGCAGAGCCATGGTTTGTGCTCACGTCTGTAACATAATCACTGTTACTAAAATAGTGTCAGACCGGACGACTCCAAACAAAAGAAAAACTTCACTTCTCCTCTAGATTCTCCATTGTTAGCATGTGAAAGTGACAGCAGTGCATCGTCTGGCTATATTTATCCAGCGTATATTTATACACGGAGAAGACATTGAAAGAGATGCCCTGAGGTCATCTAAACCTCTGTTTAAGCCAACCATTGTTGTCACATAAACAACTAATAAACAAACACAGTGTGTTCTCCTCCTGTACACCGTGTGTGCGTGCATTGTGTGTTTTTACTGTGTTGCGTCTATTCTGGACCGGACCAGCCCAGCGTTTAGCCAGACCTCTGCACCGTCTTCAGCTAATAATGGGAGTGACCCGGTCTACTTCCTTCTCTGTGCTCCTCTCTTCCTGGCCTCTTGTGCCATACAGGAAACTCATTGTGGATCAGCAGAGGCCACAGGCAGGTGATAGACACAGGCTTCTAACATCTGTCCGTCTGCTCGGTTAGCATCTGGGATTTTTTTGTCAGGGCCCAACAGGCAGGATGAACTTCATTAAGATAA